TGGCCTCAGCCTCTTTTTTTTTTTCTACCACCAAGATAATTTTTTTCCACTGATGCATGACACTATAATTACATCATTGTTTTTTCCTTTTAAATATTCAATTCAAAATGAAAGCCTATAGTGGAAATGTCCACAAGCCATATACTACACATCCCTTCTGAGTTCCACTAGCTTCGGTCACGCACACCTGAAAGACAAGAGTGTGCTCAGAGGGAACAGCTTCCAGGGCTGTGAATAAGGGTCACACATGTGAACACAGCAGTGCCAAAGCATTAGGCCCTTAAAAACGTGTGATGCCACACAAACACATCTGGCACTTCTCGATGCAGCCTGCCTTCCACTGGCTCAGGAAGATGTAGCTTGGTAGTTTTTTTTTTTTTTAAGGAAACGTTTTCCACTCCACTGTGTTCAGTAAGTACCTTTTCTCCCAATTTTATTGTTTTTCTTTTATGTGTATGGATGTTTTGCTTGTACGAATATCTGTGCACCATATGCATGCCTGGTACCCACAAAGGCCTAGAGAAGGTGTTGGGTCCCCCAGAACTGCAATTACAGATGATTGTGAGGTGCTGTGTGGTTACTAGGAATGGAACCCAGGTCATAGGAAGAGCAGCCAGTGCTCCTAACCACTGAGCCACCTCCCTAGCCCCCAGCAAATGCTCTCTTGACTATAGGATATGTCATGTCTCATCAAGACTCCAGAAAATCAGCCTGTCATGTCTTCAGCAGCCTTCGGTGCTTCAGCAGCCTTGAAAAGTTCTTTAGTAATCAATAGTGAAGCTTCTGGATTGTTCATGAAGCTGCACACAATTAAGTTTCATATCAAAACTAGTATCCAGAATTCTTGAAATCTTAAATAGGACATTCGTGGTCTTCCTCACCACCTTCAGATTCATGGCTGCAGCAGCAGCAGATGCCACACTCACCCCCATACTACTTCTATTTGCCCTGAGTGTGGCCAAGGGAGGCGGGAGAAAGGCCTTATCCTGAACTTGGCTTTTACCTTAAGTCAGAAGTCTAAGTACAGCTCATTGCCCTCCCTAACATAGGCATGGCCCTAATAGAGGTAGCACTCATCCAATCAGCAGAGGCCTGAGCTTTTTTAGCTAAAAGGAAATCCCTCAAAATTCGCCAAAGGAAACACTCCGAGGATGTATGCCCCTGCTGAAGCAGGAGGGAAACTAGAGGAGTTGGGCATAAATCCTGGAAGGTCTTGAATGCCACAAGAAAACTCTACAAGAAAAGAAGCAACTTCTAGGGTCAGCCACTGCCCCGGCATCAGGCTCCATAACACAGGCCTGGCCTCTGCCTCCTTAGCACAATTCCACGCTAGCAAGAGGGAAGGCGTTGGGAGGGACAACCGATGTTGGAGGTGACCCTCCTGCCACAACTAGAGGAGAAGGACGTTGTCAATAAAATGAAACTTGCAGTTTCTATCTGACCCTGGATAAGACTTGCTGATACCTAGAGGGGAAAAAAAGAGACTATTTTAAAAGTAATTATAAAAATAAAAATGATAAGACCCAGGAGAGTCTGGGAAAGCTGTAAATTGTATCAGGTCTAGGGAAGAGTTTCTCATTAGAGCTGGTTTGTGGGAGCACTGGTGATAAATCGAGCGTGTCCTCACATCTCGTTCAACAGAAGGATGCATCTGAGGAGACCAGCAAGTCAGCTTGGCTGTGTCCTCTGGAGCTCCACGCCAGAGCTCAGGGGGTCTGTCTAAACTGGAGGGGAGACATTCCCTCCAATGAGGTTTATCATTTTAATGTGACATACTGGACTTGACTTTAAAAGGATTACTATTTATGTGTGCGTGGAGGGGGATATTCGAGAGTATTCTTGAATGTGGAGGCCAGAAGAAACATCCTTGATCACTCCCTACCTTTTCCTTTGAGGCAGTCTCTCCCTGAATCTCCCTGAATCACATTTTCTTGGCTAGGCTGGTAGACACTGATTTTTTTTTTTTTTGGTTTTACGAGACAGGGTTTCTCTGTGTTGTTTTGGAGGCTGTCGGTCCGCCTGCCTCTGCCTCCTGAGTGCTGGGATTAAAGGCGTGCGCCACCACTGCCCAGCTCTGATTCTTAATAATCCTCATGCCTCTGTACCCCTAAAAGCTGAGGTAATAGGCAGGGTTACCCTGCTTGTTGGGTGGGGTGGGTCCTGGGATCTGGAACTGTGGTCCTCATCATTGCCCATGGAACACTTAATCCCTGAGATATCTTTCCAGCCTTACACTGAACTTTTTTTTTTTTTGAGACAGGGTTTTTCTGTGTAACAGCATTGGCTGTCCTGGAACTAGCTCTGTAGACCAGGCTGGCCTCGAACTCACAGAGATCCTCCTGCCTCTGCCTCCCAAGTGCTGGGATTAAAGGTGTGTGCTACCACCACCTGGCCTACACTGCACTTTTAAAAACTAAAGATTATTTGGCATTTCCTGAGAAAGCTGTGTCAACCACCTTCAGTTTCTAGCAGGAGAAAGAAGTCCCCTGGGATGCATGCAGTGGCATTGACAGAAGGGATTGTGATTTCCTTAGGGTTTCTATTTCTGTGATGGAAACACCATCACCAAAAACACCTTGAGGAGGAAAGAGTTTATTTGGCTTACACTTCCAGTCAGGCAGGAACTCAAGCAGGGCAGGGACCTGGAGGCAGGAGCTGATGCAGAGGCCTTCGAAGAGTGCTGCTTACTGGCTTCCTCACCATGGCTTTCTAAGCCTGCCTTCTTATAGAACCCAGGACCACCCCAGGAATGGCCCCACCCATACCACGCTGGGCCCTCCCCCATCAATCACTATTTATGAAAATGCTCCACAAGCCTGCCTAATCCCGATGTTATGGAGGCATTCTCTCAATTGAGGCTCTCTCCTCTAGCTTCTGTCAAGTTGAGACAGAAACTAGCCAGCACAAATTGCCTCTTTCCACTTTCACCTAACAGGCCACTGATTGATAGTCACATTTGCTCTGAACATCATATACTGCAGATTGAATGTTTCAGGATGTCATCCGTGAGGCTGATTTAGTTAAAAGACCTTAGCTGGATGCTGCAGCTCACACCTGTTGTTTCAGTGCTTCCAAGGCAGGAGGATCTCCAAGACCTGGAGGCAAGTCTGGGCTACAAAGTGAGTTCTAGGTCACCCTGGGCTACAGAGCAATATCTTGTTTCAAAAACTAAAATGAACTAATTAAAAGTCAGAACTGTAATTCATCATTGAAGCTGCTACTTGTTGGGAAATAGCCACGAAATTCTCATTCACAAGAGTCTACAAGTGTAAAATTGCCTGATTTTCTTTCCCATGAGACGAACATTGCTCGCGTGTGGCTCTTTGCTGAGGCACAGAGTGTGACACCCACACCAGGAGCAAGTCTAATGTATGGGGTGGAAGCCAGGGCATTTAAGTAAAAGATAAGATGTCTGGCCGTTTGTGCTACGAGAATGCGAGTGCGTGCCCTCATTGCAATGCATGCGTGTCCTTATTGCAAGGAGGAAGCAGCCTTATATACAGACTTACAGCACAGTGGTGAAACCCCACGTGTAAGAGTCCGTGATTTCCTTGTACTAGATGTTGATGTCAGGTGGGCAAGGCCAGGGCTGTAAGCCAGGACTAGAGAACAGGATGCTCTTGTGGTTATCAGCTGACAAACAATGCACAGAGATTTGTGGGGGCTGCCACCTAAGACAGAGGTTTTAGTCACCAGCCTTCAAGTCCACCTCACAGGCTACGGAACATTCACAGGAATGAAAACTCTAGAAACTCCATTTCTCAAATTCACTGCTTCAGCAGTGTGGATGTAATTTCTTTCACCCAGTCTCCAGTGGGAGGGAAGGTCATGTCCTTTTCTGTGTGGCAGCACCTTTTCTGTGTCTCTAAGCTGTGAACCCAACCCTACCTCACAATGCAGGGCCACTGAGATCAACCACGGGGCAGCCTGTGTGTTTCTGCCCTGGGTGACAGTAACAACTAAGTTCCTACACTTCTGCTTGATATGTGGCCACAGATGTCCCCTGGCCCTTACTCCAGCAGCGTCTGACAGTGTCTTGGACACCAAAACTTGAACTCAGCTCCTTCCTACATCAGAGGTCTGTGGTGGGAAGAAATGAACATACTTAGTGGGTGTCTTTCAATTAAATGGTTTTTTTCAACTATAAAAGACATTAACTGCCTTTGCTTATTTTACTTCTTGAGACAGGGTTTTCTGTGTAGCCCTGGCTGTCCTGGTACTCACTGTGGAGACCAGACTGATCTCAAACTCAGAGATCCACCAGCCTCTGCCTCCCAAGTGTTAGGGTGCTCCACCATGCCCTGCTATTAACTGTCATTTTATTTTATTACCTTTTCATTTATTCGTGCATTTGTGTGCATGAGTGTACACAGCTCCAGAGCACCCGGGGAGGTCAGGAGACAGCCTACAGGGGTCAGTTCTCTCTTTCCTCTGTGTGGGTTGTGCTAATTGAACACAGGCTGTCAGGGAAGTTACCTAACTCTGGCCTTCTCAGGCTCTCACCTGCATCTCTTACAATTTTTATTCTGGAGAATTGCTCACATGGATACCATGAAATACACTCATAAAGGCTGCCCATTTCACCCCTGAGCTGTCGCTCCAGCAATTACTTTGAAAGAAACATGGAGAAGTTTGAAAATGGATGCTTAGAGATGTTTTACCCCTATGTGTTATTATTATTATTATTATTACAAGTTTCCAAGTCTCAGATACTCTGTTATAGCGGTACAAACGGTAGGCAAGGGAAGACATAGACTGTGTCAAACAGGTCCCTCATACATTTTCCTTGAGTTGGAAAATGATCTCCCTCTAAGTTACTGACTAGTCCATGCTGGAAGCCAATCTGGAATTTGGGGGGGAGGGAGCAATGGAGACCAGAAATGAGCTCTGTAAGCATCCTACTCCTAAGATCTGCCTTTATCTATATATTTTAGCCATCTCCACAAACTGCAATTATGCATCAAGATGGGAATTTTTAATCATACTTCAGGAACATGCAATAGTGCAGACAAGGTGGGTTAAGAATTCACATGATGCTGTTGAGTAAACATTTTTTCCAGTTGGAATGGCTTCCTGGCCCTCCTGGGACTTTCTTGTTGGGGGAAATGACTGTCAGCCACAAATCTGCTTCTGGGCTCCACCTTCCTGCTGGCGTCAAGGGAGACTGACGCCAACAGCTTCCTTGCTTGAAATGTCTCCCCAGCTACAGCATCGGGGTCACACAGAGGTTAGAGCAGATGTGCTCTTTGCTGCTCCTGCTTAGTATTCAGGTTGCTTTTCTCTTGGGGGTTACCAAAGTAGGAAATAACTGAGAGGGAGATTAGAGGAGAGAGAGGATTGGGGCCTGAGCAGAGGATTCTGAATTTTATCAGACAGGGAAGAGCCTCAAGCTCACCATAAGGTCCTTCTAGGCAGAAATTGCCTCCCTCTTCTTAGCCTTGAAGTTCAATGTAGGGGCTGGAACCAAGAAGATAAGGACAGGGCGTTTGCTGTCATTCTTTCTCTCTGTACTGACTAATTTTATGTCACCTTGTCACAAGTAGAGCCATCTGAGAGTAGGAAACCTAAGTTGAGAAAATGCCCCCATAAAATGCGACTGTAGACAAACCTGTAGGGCATTTTCTTAATTAGTGATTGGTGGGGAAGGACCCAGTCCATTGCCAGGCTGGTGGTCTGGGGTGCTACAAGAAGGCTGACTGAGCAAGGCTTGGGGAGCAAGCCAATAAGCAGCACTCCTTCGTGGCTTCTGCGTCAGCCCCTGCCTCCAGGTTCCCGTCCTGCTTGAGTTCCTGTCCTGACTTCCTCCCGGGATGGACTACGGTTGTGGAAGCATAAGCCAAATAAACCCTTTCCTCCCCAACTTGCTCTTGGTCATGGTGTTCCATCATAGTAATAGTAACCCTAAATAAAACTAGTTGCTGCGAGGATAGTGGGTATTGCTGGGACAGACTGACCATGTTGCTTTTGGAAGAACTGTGGAAGGACTTTGGAGCTTTGGGCTAGAAAAGGCACTGGCTGTTGAGGGCTCAGTGGACTGTTCTGTAGGAACTTAGGAGTTAAGAGCGTTGAAAGCAGTGCAGACAATGGAGGCCCAGCTTGTGAGGTTTCAGAGGGAGGCAAAGACTGTACCGGGCCATTTGTGTGAAGAACCTGCGTGTCTGGCCAGCTGGAGCTAAAGAATCAGCTGTGACTAACAAGAGACTGGAAACACTGAAGGAAAACCTTTGCTTTGCTGGAACAATGGACGCTGGTTAGCTGGGGCTGGAGAATCAGCTGTGAATAAAAAGTTTCCAGCACCACTGAGGTGAAATCCAGTCAGCATATACAAGCTGTGTTCAGCGGCCGCCATGGTTGTATCTTGTGTGGTAGCTAAACTTGGCATGGGAAGAGTCTCCCAGGTGGTACTGGTTTTGAAGGCATAAAAGGTACGTGGCGAGCAGCTGAGGCTTGGTGCTGTGAGAGGCCAGGAGAGGCCCTTGGTGAAGGTGCAGCCTGAGTAACAGTGGAGCCCCAGGATCAAAGAGGTCATGGAGAAAAGCTAATGCTTTGTGCCGTGAAGAGAACCCAGGAAGACGCTGTTGGTGAAAGTGCAGCCCAACTACAGAAGATCCCGGCACTTGGCACTTTTGGAGATGCCAGTACCACAGGTTGACTGCCAGTAACAGTAGCCTTGGGGAGTGGAGCCAGCTGGAGCCTAGGGGAGCTGTGTGCGCTGCAGGGGCGGAGCTGGAGAAGGGACCCAAGCTCTTGGAGGAGCCCAGGAGATGGCGAGTGAATCCTAGCTTTTGGAATTGACCTATTTACATGGTTGGAGTTTGGTTTTGCTTTGTTCAGATTGTGACTGTGCCTTGGTTCTTTCCTCTTGAAGTAAGAAAGTTTTTAACTTATTTTTGATTTTATAAGAGCCCACAGTTGAGAGACTTTGAATTTTTTTAAAATTTATTTTACATTCCAACCACAGTTTCCCCTCCCTTCTCTCCTCTGGTTCCCCCCCTCCACCTCCTTTCTACGCCCCCACCCCCATCCACTCCTCAGAAAGGGTAAGGCCTCCCATGGGAATCAACAAAGCCTGGCATTCTAAGTTGAGGCAGGACCAGGCTCCTACCGCCTGCATCAAGGCTGAGCAAGGCATCCCACCATAGGGAATAGGTTCCAAAGAGCCAGTTCATGCACCAGGAATAGATCCTGGTTTTCACTAACAGATCAAGCTATTCAACTCTCACATACAGAGGCTCCCTAGCTGTCGGTCTAGTGTTGTTGTGCCCAAACTCTGAACCCCCAAATCACCAAGAGACCTGATCCAATGCAAAGACAGGGAGTCTTTAATTTTATGAGTTAACTCCCACGTCCAGGGCTGAAGCAGGTGGGGACCAGGAGGGACCTCCAGCAGCAGAGGGGCAGGGAATATATATTGGGGCAGAGCAAGGGGAGTGTCTGGGGTCCGCAGCAGTCTCAGGATTGGTGCACTTCTGGGCTTGGGCAACCGGTCCTGAGTTGATTGGTCAGCTGCCTCTGCAGCAAGGATGCTATGGCCTAGAGACCCTCCCAGGGTGGTTGCTATGCTCTGCGGTCCAGAGCCCACCAACTAACTTCTGATTAGTTCCTTGCCACACTAGTTTCTTAGTGACTAGAAGATCAGGCAAGGCTGGGAGCGTAGCACTTGTTGCTGAGTCAGGGGCCTTTGTCCTGCTGGGTCTTTTCTGCAGCCTGTCATGGCTGCCAAAGCAGGGGGCTGGGTGAGGGCCTGGGCCCTTCAGTGTCTGTGAGCTCCAGTGAGCTCTGGTCAACTGTCTCTGTGGGTTTCCCCATCATGATCTTGACCCCCCCATATAATCCCTCCTTCCTCTCTTCAACAGGACTCCTGGAGCTTGGTCCAGTGTTTTGCTGTGGACCTCTGCATCTGCTTCCATCAGTTACTGGATGTAGGCTCTATGATAATTAGTGTAGCCACCAATCTGATTATAGGAGATGGCCAGTTCAGACACCCTCTCCACTATTGCTAGAAGTCTTAGTTGGGGTCATCCTTGTGGCTTTCTGGGAGTTTCCCTGGTACCAGGTTTCTCCCTAACCCCATAATGGCTCCCTCTATCAAGATATCTTTCATTGCTCTCTCACCCTCAACATGGCCATCTCGATTCCTTATGTTCCCATTCCCCATCCTCTACACCCCCACCCCCAGTTTACACAGGAGATCTCCTCTATTTCCCCCCTCCCAGGGCAATCCACGTGTCCCTCTTAGGGTTCTCCATGTTACCTGGCTTCTCTGGGGCTGTGGATTGTAGCCTGGTTATCCTTTGCTTCACATCTACTATCCACTCAAGAGTGAGTACTTCCCTGTTTGTCTTTCTGGGTCTGTGTTATCTCACTCAAGATTATGTTTTCTAGTTTCATCCGTTTGCCTGCAAATTCCACTATACCATCGTTTTTAAAAAGAGATCTTGGATTTTATCTTTTTCCTTTTATTGAAAATAGATTTTTTTAAACCTACTAAATCCTGATTATAGTTTCCCTTTCCTCCACTCCTCCCAGTTCCTCTCCACTCCCCCCTCCTATCCAGATCCACTCCCTCTCTGTCTCTCATTAGAAAACAAACAGGCTTCTAAGGGACAGTAATATAACATAAAATAAAACAAAACTAACACTTCAGAATTGGACAAAACAAACAGGAGGAAAAGAGCCCAAGAAAAGGCACAAGAATCAGAGAACCACTCATTGGCACACACGGAATCCCATAAAAACAACAAACTTGAAACCATATTATACACGCAGAGGACCAGGTTGCTGCCCCCCCCCAAGCCCTGTGCATGCTGCCAGTCCTGCAATTCATGTGAGGTTTGCCATGTTGATTTAGAGGTCCCTCTGGCTCTTATTCTTTCTACTTCCTCTTCAGCAGGATTCCCTGTGCCCTGAGGGAGGGATTTGATGGCGACAGCCCCTTTAGGGTTGAGTGTTCCAAGTTCTCTCTCTCCCTCCTGGTCTGCCTCCTTCCCTCCCTCCCTCCTTCTCTCCCTCGAGCTCGATCCACCCCCCTTCTCCCCCCTCCTCTCTTTCTTTCTGCTTGCCTGGCTGTGGGTCTCTGTATTTGTATTTGTTCCCATCTGCTGCAGGAAGAAGCTTCTTGATGATGGCTGAGCAAGGAACTGATCTATGGGTATAGCAAAATGTCATTAGGAGTAATTTTTTTCTTTTTCCTTTTTTTTTTTTTTTACTTTTTAAAATTTAAATTAGAAACAAGCTTGTTTTACATGTCAATCCCAGTTCACTCTCCCTCTGGTTGTGGAAACAGTATTTGTCCCTACTGCAGGAAGTTGCTGTCCCAGCCTAGATACATGGGGAAGGTTCTAGGTCCTGCCCCAAAGATGTGACAGACTTGAATGATCCCCCATGGAAGGCCTCACCCTCCCTGGGGGAGTGCATGGGAGTGGGATGGGGGTCAGTGGGGAGTGTGGGAGGATGAGAGGAGATTGATATGCAAAATAAGATTGTTTCCAATTTAAATAAAAAATTTAAAAAGTAATAAAAAATGAGCCGGACATTGGTGGCACACGCCTTTAATCCCAGCACTCGGGAGGCAGAGGCAGGTGGATCTCTGTGAGTTTGAGAACAGCCTGGTCTACAAGAGCTAGTACCAGAACAGCCTCCAAAGCCACAGAGAAACCCTGTCTCAAAAAAAAAAAAGTAATAAGAAAATGGCTGAGTAACACTCCATTGTGTAGATATACCAAATTTTCCCTAGCCTTTCATTTGTTCAGGGACACTTAGGTTGTTTCCAACTGGGCTATTATGAATGTAACAGCAATGAACATGGTTGGGCAAGTGTCTCTGGGGTGGAATGAAGTGTCCTTTGGGTACAGCTGGGTCTTGAGGTAGATCTACTTTCAGCTTCCGAGGAACTGCCACACGGATTTCCATAGTGGCTGTACAAGTTTGCACTGGCATCAAGAGCAATCCTCCCTATCATGAGCTATTGCTTGTATTATTGGTCTTAGCCATCCTGACAAGTGGAATTTCAAAGTAGTTTTGATTTTCATTTCCCTGATGCCTAAGGATGTTAAACATTTAAATATTTCTCAGCCATTTGAGTTTCCTCTTTTGAGAATTCTCTGTTAAGAGCCCCATTTTAACTGGGTTATTTGTTTTCTTGTCATCTAGTTTTTTGTTTTTTTTTTTAGATATCAGCCCTCTATCAGACTCATAGTTGGTAAAAATCTTTTCCCATTTTGTTGGCTGCTGTTTTGTCTAGATGATGGTGTCCTTTGCCTTATAGAGGCTTCTCAGTTTCATGAGGTACCATTTACTACTAATTGTTGACCTTAGTGCCTGCACTATTGGTGTTCTGTTCAGAAAGTCTTCTCATGTGCCAGTGAGTTCAAGGCTACTCCCCACTTTCTCTTCTGTCAGGTTCAGTGTATCTGGTGTTGTGTTGAGCTCTTTGGTCCATTTGAAATTGAGTTTTG